CATGTGAGCATAATTTCCTTAAAAACATCTGAGCAAAAAGATTCCAAGAAGCAATATTTTTTTATATTTCTTTTTGAAAGAAATTATTTTAAAATAGAGATTTAAACACACATTTATCTTATATATAACAGTAATTTTTTTGATTTATTAAAACATAGTAGTAGTTATTGGAGTTGATAAAAAATACAAAGTACTTAATCTTTATAATGTGGGTTCAGTATAAAATTTTATTTCCTAACTTTTTTATTTTAAATGACCTACTCCGAGTATAAAATTCTAATAGTGAAATCCTCAAGTTTTTATTAAACTAATACATTGCTTAAATTAGTAAGTAATATTCTACAATAATTTTCTACATTGAGCATTGTAACTACATTACATATGTTAATATCATCATATATATGATATGATAGAAACCTGTTATAACTAAATTATGCATGTTAATCATCAGATGTGTGATAGGAAGTTGTTAGAACAGTAATTTAATGTTACTTGCACGTGCATTGCCAACATGCTAGTGGGATGTAATGCATTCTAACTACAAACCTAACACACACTTGGTCTGTATGGGTGTATGGATGTATAGATATGTGTTTATGTATATGTATCTAATGGGAGTGTTTGGCAATTCTTCAAAACTGGGCCAAGATCAGTCCTGGCCCAGTTTTGATTCTTTTTGTGTTTGTCTAAACATGGTCAGACCTTGCCCTGTTTTTTTTAAGTCAAAATTTGGGTTTAAAACGGGTTCTTTCCTAACCACGGCCAGACCAAAGTAGGCTAGGATTGATCCTGGCCCTATTTTAAACATATTGCCAAACAGACCCTAAATATAGACATATATTTGCATCTTGACTCTTTTTGTTTACTTTTCCCATGCCTTCTTTGGTAGTCTACTCATTTTCTGTTGATAAATATATAGAAAGTGAGATAATTGCAAGCTCAGTGACAAGGAAGAAAATGGGGACTCACTAACTGGATTACACTGCAGTTATGTGCTGCTTTCATTTATATTCTCCTATCATGTGATTGCTTCTCGTAAGAGGAAAGCACAACTTAGTAAATCTAGTTACTGATCCAAGTCCAACCAGATTTGTCTATACATAAGCATGCTTGCATAATTTCAGACAGAGCAAAGAACATATCTTTGCAGTAATTAAAATCTATTGGATCTAGTAGCATCAAGTAATTAAAATCTAATGGTTCTAGTAGTATCAACATATAGACCTATTGTTATATTCCGCAGACGGGGCTTTTTTTCCACTCTTGTACTTGAAATGTTTATTGAATCTGTTTGTAAGCTTGCAATTGGCCTTCATTGTTTACAGCTTTTCCTTACCTTATTGATCCTCTTCTCCTTTAACCTGCTTTTACGAGTCAGTGAGTTAATATATTTACTTCTAAAACTAACGGTGTCTGAGGGACTATTAAAAGTTATTTCAGTTGTTAATAAGGTTGTAAACTTGATATATGATTAATGTGTCTTTCTTCAGATATAAACTAAAGTTTTCTTTTGCGGCAGTCAACAGGTAAAACACTTGAAAGTGCATTAATAAACCTCCTGTGTGATGGTTATATTTTTTTTTCCAAATCGCTAGTATGTTGCAATTCTAATTTGAGTTTAGCTTCATTCTTCTAGTATTTTTTTTTAAATAGGGAGAACTGCCCGTTTTACTGGATCTCTTTATATTCTGCAGGCTAGAGAATCTTATATTGGAAGCCATAACTAATTTGAAAGAGCCCAGTGGATCCAATAAAACTGCTATTGCCATGTATATAGAGGTGGAGTGATTTCTTGTGCATACTCCTTCTGTCGTATGTTATGTATGTCCTGTATGCTACCATTTGTTCATATATTTCTTCTGCATACTTCTTCTTCTTTTTTGATTGTTGCTGAAAATTTTTTAATTGTCGTTTCCCTATACCCAATCCTGGGTCGCCTCTTGCAATTCATTACTACTCTCTTCTGCCTGTACTTAGTGAGCTAACATCCAATATTAAGTATCAGTGAACGATATTCACTTGAACATTATTTAGGGCTCCAAATTGGTAGACCACAGTATTGAATCATCATTTTGAGTACTAAAATTGCTCAAAAGTATTCTGTATTGTATTTTTACCTATGCAAAAATGGTTCTGATAGAAAGATGATTAGATCTATGGCGTGGGAGTGACCAAATACTAAATTAGTTACCATGTTTACTTGAACACCTATTTTACCACGATATGTAGACCCAACACTTGTCTTATACCTCACCCAAGGTTATCAATAGCGGATAGCGTCGCGTAGCGGTGAGGCATCGCTAAGGCTATTTGGGGCTATTGCAGCAAAATAGTGATAAAAAGCGCAAAGTCAAATAGCGGTCTAATTTAGGTATGTATACATATTAAAAAAAATATTAAAGAAAAATCTAGAAAATCTAAAAGTGTATATTTGATGATTTCTTTAAATAATAAGTATGCAATAGACATGTAACCGTCACATAATACTGAAGACGACTGAAGGAGGAATTAAAAAGTTGTAGTCTTCGAGAAGATGAGCTGAGCAGTGAGAGGACTGCAGCGTGAGAAGCTCACAATGAGAGGAATGAGAGGAGGTGAGAGGAAGTGTTGAGAGAGGTGTCGGAGACTGTCGGAGGCTGCGAGAATACGCCGGAAATTGCGGGAGGCGGTGGGATGCAATGGTTGTAGGGCGGGTTTAATTTAAAAAAAAATAAACCTTAAACCACTTTTAAATAGCGGTCAAAAAGCGGATTTTTCCTGCAATCGCCTGCTATTCATAGCTATGGCATGCTATTGGCCGTTTTTTCTAGCGGAAAGCACATATTCCATAATATATACCCGCTATTAGACGATAGCGTAGCAGGAAAGGACTGCTAACGCTATTAGCGCCGCTATTACGGCGCTATTTACCACTATTTATAACAGTGACCTCACCAAGTACAAATGGTGTTGGACGCAAACAATTATCCAAAACATAGATATGAAACGACACTGTATAAGTAAATATCTTTGGAAAATGTGGATGTTTCTTCTGAATATATACATGCGTTTCCCAAATACATAGGCATTGGATTGCCATGTAAAAAGAACCTGTTTAGTACCATGATTTATAAAACAAGTATTCTTTGTGAAAATGGTAACCTACTACCTATACATTTTCTTTGAAGCAAATAACAGCCTATATATTTCTAAGTTTTGGTCATAGATGGTGATGTATGTTTTGCCTAGGTGCTTTATCACACTAGTTTGGGTACTGGATACAAATACAACTTGATAAGAGTATGTGAATATGAAAAATCCTGAAAATCTAGGACACCACTACACTATGGATATGATAATGCTATAATATGTAGATTAACATTATTTATCTACATGGGCTATGAAAACTAAAGAAACACAATAATTCAACTAATATAAACTATGAAGATGTTGAAGCTATGTAAGTCACTAGTTTTGAGAGTAATCATAGTTCTCAGGTAAGGAAGTGGACAAGTTATGTAAATGCGTTAGAGCTCAGATCAAATTGGTCTATATTCTGAACTAGCTCAGATACATCTCCTACTTTCCTTTTTGTATGCCGGGAATACCTTGTAAAGTTGTAGATCCATCACAGAAGTACTCAATGAGCATCCATCAAGTATTTGAGTATCCAAGTGTCAAAAATGTAGCAGATATGGGTACATCACGTATGGTGAAGTATCTGTGCAACATAGTTTGTGTGACGGGCCCACCAATCTTTAATAGGGAGGAATGTCTTACATATCATAGTTGTTCTACACCAAGGTAACTAAAGGGACACATTGGTAATGCCTCATTAATTATTATATTAAGTCGTCATAGGTATTTAAGATGTTGATGATCAACAATGTCTTTGGATATTATAGAATGTAGACAAGCAATGATTTGTTCAACAAATTTCAGTGCTCTATCGTATGCTTTATATGTCTTATTTTTACTAGAATTACTACATGATATTTTTGGTAGCGTCTATCTCTATCTACTCCCTTCATGCTTTAATAATATGCCATCTTATTCTTTTACTTTATATATTCTTGGATATGTATGTGATATTAATTTTTTAGGACATTGGTTTTTTTGTTTTGTTTTGTTTTGTTTTTTTGTCGATTTCTCCTGGAGAAAAGTTGATAATTGCCCATGTTCAATTCACAATTAGTTTTAATGTCTCTGGAGAGAACTTGGTAACTACCTATGTTTAATTCACGATTAGTTGTAATGTCTGTTATGCACAAATAACTGTTCATTTCTTTTTCTTTAATATTCATCTTCCAGTGATGTCTTCGTGTATTGTGCGTGAAAAACCTGTTGGGCTGATTATTTTTTGGACGTAACATGTGACTGTCTAAGGCAAGCAAAAGTTCTTAAAGGAAATCTATTTTTTGTGATCATGAAGCGATTGCTTCCACTTTTGGATGTCAATGTTTTTTACATGCATTGGATATACTCTGGCTCATATAGAAGGGAACATGTTGAACATTTGTGATCTTAATTTTTGTCAAAGGAGCAGTGATGAAGGATAAAGTGAAGCCAAAAGCTAATTCAGTTTTCTAGGCTTAAAAAGATAGATATAGAGAGGATAGAGGTCTTAACATAGACAAAGTTATTTCTCCCTGTTTTCGTTTACCTTAGCATTTAACACAATGGCTTGTAGTTCTAAGAACCTGTACTATTACCTGATGAATCTTTAAATTCTATTATATTCGGTTTAGAATTTTTATAAGTTTGAGTTGCTTAACCATTACACACACACACACACACGCACGCACGCATGCGCACGCGCGCGCGCGCTCGCGCACGCGCACACACAAATAAATAATTTAAATTCATATGGCTAGGGAGGTAATTTAACACTTCGTGAGAGTGTGTTTACATTCGTTGCATGCTTGATGAGGTTAAGCATCATAGGAGCAGGAGTGAATCTAGTTGATGCTGCCTCCAGCTTGTCGAGCGATGAGACTTGCAGAGCAGTTTGACTGAGTATACGACATTATTGCTGAATGCATTCACTGCCATGGGCTCGTTCCCAATGGCGATCCATTCTATTCTTTATGTGAAACTGAAGATCATGAAGGACTTGGGGAGAATGTAGATCATCTGAGGAGAGACAGGCCTTTATCTCTTTGATGGCCAAATTACTCAAAGTTATAACATCTATTAGGATTTTTTCTATGACGTGCGGGACAATGACTCTTCTATAGAGTATATTTTTGGTTCTGGAGTGGAGAATGGAGATATAGAATCAAAAGTTCCTTTCTGGTGCTGCATACTAAATTGATTCTGTATTTCCTGAAGCAAAAATATAATCGCTAGAAGAGGCCCCATCCCACAAAGTTATCATGGTTGCAGTGCTGTTGTTTTGATTCTGTATTTCCAGAACCAAAAATATAATCGCTAGAAGAGGCCCCATCCCACATATCATAGAAAAAATCCCAACAACACTTATAACTCTGAGGAATTTGGTCATCAGAGAACTATCAGATTGTCAACGTTCTCCCCAAAGTTCTTTATTCCTTCAGCTTTGCATGAATAGCAGAAAGGATCACCACTGGGAAGTAGCCTATGGCATTGAATGTGCTGAACAACAATGTGGTATATTCTGTCTGATCTGTTCTGCAGGCTCATCGATTGACAAGCTGGAAGGAGGATGAACTAGATTCACTAGCTCCTACTCCCATTACAATTATCCCAATCAAGCATGCAACAAATGTAAACATACTCTAAGAAGTGTTAAAATATCTTCCCAGCCATCTGAATTAAAAAAAATACATTTTTGATGGTTAAGCAACTCAAGCTCTTAAAACACTAAAATGAAGATAAAATGGTTTAAAGATTCGTCTGGCAATGGTTTCAGGCCTACAAGCCTTTGTGTTAAATGTTAAGGGAGAATCAGAAAGAGAAACAAATCTGTTTATGTTAATACCTTTTCCTTTCTATATCTGTCTTTCTAAGCCTAGACTACGGAATTAACTTTTGGCCTTTGCCTTAGCGAAGCATCTACTGTGTATTTTACTAATGGATGTAACAACCTATTTTTGTTAATGGGTATTTGCATCAATTATTGGTATTTTTGGTCATTCTTATTCTCTAGTCCTTTTACCTAAATAATTCCCCGTCATGCATCCAGGTAAGATATCAGACTTGCAGTTGTTGCATTCATGAAAAACAGATATTTTATCTTTGTTTTGATGGGAGGTACAGTGAGAAGTTTAATCTTTGTGCTGCACAGTTGCTTTCCTGACTTTGGGCCCTCTAAAATCTGGCTAGCGTTTTATGCATAATGCATGTGTGTGTGTGTGCATGCGCGCGTGTGTTTGCATGCGTGCATGCATGTGTCGTAGATAAATTAAATTGAGTGCTAAGTTTATTGTGATTACGCTTTTTTTAGTTTATTGTGAATATACCTTTTGTATAAAAAGATATAACTGTTTCTCTATCTAATGAACTTGTTGTTTGTGTTTTAAATGCTTAGGGTAATATTTAAGCAGAGTACTTTTTTTCTTCTATGGTGCTGTTTTTTGTAGTCTCCTACATTTTTAGTTTTTTTTTCTCTTTGAATTTGATTTATACAGGACCAATATGTGTCTCCTCCAGATTTCAAGCGTCTGTTATCTGCGAAATTGAGAAGGATGACTGAAACAAGGAAATTGGTTAAGGTAATATATTCTTTAGTGTAACAGTGATTATACGGACATCATAATATGCTACCTGACAGTAGAGTCACTACATTTAATACTGGGTTGCCAGCAAACATAAAAGTGTTATTGAAATAGTTTGTGTTATAAAAGTTTGTGGGATCTATTAATTGCAACTTCTAGCATATGTGAAAGAGTCGAAGGAATGGTTTTGTCCCAGTTAAAACAAGGTGTTTTATGTATTGAAATTGGCTGAGACTATTCAGCCGTAATCAAGTATCTTAATGTGAGTTTTCAGGCATATATATAGACAATGCACTCTTGATTGATCTAGATCTTTTAAGAGTAAGACAGGACTCTGAAGTTTTTGTTTCACTTTTTTTAATTCAAAATCTATTAAGCATAATCTATGCAAGGTTTTAAATGTCGGCCAACATGTCCGACATGTCGGCCGACATATCGGTTTGAGGGCTTGACCGACACGACATGGACGTTTTCAACTCGTATATCGGTTTTCAGGGCCAAATCGGAAATATCAGGGTCATATTGGGCATATCGGCCTATTTTTTAGCTTTGAAAAATCGGCCGATATGATACTTTTTTTAAGATCTGTTTTTTGTTATCGGGTTTGGGTTTAGTGATAAATACCCAAACCCGTTTGATCCGTTCTCATGTTTAAGGGTTTCTTATGAACCCGATAGAAAGAATTTATGAACCCAAATCCATATATTATATGAACCCGATAGAAAGAATTTATGAACCCAAATCCATATATTATTTACTTTTTTATATGTTTAGTCTAGAATTTATAAAATATGCTTATATTGAATTTATGAATGCTTAGATTATATTTAGGACATGATATTATACATATGCGCACTACCCGATATGACAATCTGATATTTAGTCAATGTCCCCCGATATATCCCCGATTTCCGCTATCCGATATGGATTTCAGCCATCCGACATGAACCCGACATCCGATATTTAAAACCTTGAATCTATGCATTATACATGAGTATTTATCAAAAATAGTTTCAGGCGTGCGCACACAACGCACTCTTGGTGATCTAGATCTTTTAAGACTAAGACAGGGCTCTGAAGTTTTTGTTTCACTTTTTTTTAATCCAAAACCTATTAAGCATAATTTATGCATTATACATGAGTATTTATAAAAAAATTTGAGCTCACCCTTAAAAATATTTTTGGACACTTCTTATTTCTCAGAAGGCAAGTGACTAATTCCAACCTTCTGATACAAAGGAACGTTACTTAATAAATTAATGTCAGAACCACTACCAGATCCCCAACGACAGATATTATTGCTTTGTTTTTGAATTTCTACTTTTTCTGATTTCAATGCTGTTCTTTAGTTATGCTATTATTCTTTGGATCCTGATGGCGTTCTTGTTGCATACCTACCCAGCAGCAATTTATTTTCGTATAGATGTAAGTGGTAAATTCATCTTGATCAGAAGCTGTAAACATTTTGCTACTCAGAACATGATGTCATTTTACAGATAGCATATTGAGTTTCACTTTATTAACCTGACAGATCTTTTTTTTTCTGTTGGGGAAGTCATACTTAGAGTTTGCATTCTCTTTTTCCTGCACAAAACCCAGTTATAGGATCGCTGGCTCTACAACCAGGTTGCTTCTGGTCACTTGAAAGAGATTCCTTTCTTGCTGATTTAGGTTTTTAATGGGCACTAGCCACTAGGAAATATTTTAAGAACTCTTGAAATTACATGAAAGGACCAGTGTTTTATTTGGATCTCAAAATTTTGATATCTAATGTCAGTGATATGTCATTAGTTCTTTCATTAACTTTCCAATATATACGCTTTAGCATTCATCTTTTCTGAAAGTACTAAAGGATGTATTTTGATTCTAGAGGAATTTGTTTGCCAACTGCGCTATTTTTTTAGGTCAGATGATTATGTATTTTAATTCTGCTTAAGACTGATGTGGAGATATCATCAAGAAGGATAAGATAATCCAAAATCAGAATCTTGGGTTGTAGCGTAACAACGTTTTAAACTGATCCAATTGTTTCAGGCATTTTTACTTCATTAGTTTTTCTGCTGTTGCACAATAAAGAAGCGAAGAGTGTTTTAATTATCGGAAGTCGGGATATGTCGAACAGAAAAATTCCATATCGTGTAGTGGATATTTGTCAGTTAGCGGAGATATTTAATAAATATCCAGGTGTCATACCAGATAATATCTATATACATATCGTAGATGTTAGTACTTGGTGTTCCAATGAATGGAGCCCTGGAGAAAGATGATATGTTTTGCAAAGCTATTGCGAAAGAATTTTGTCCAAATTGAGCTCTAATTCTTCTTCATGGTTAGTTACATAAGCAAATATTTACTTTTGTTTAGACCTAAATTGAACCATAAAGTTAAACAAATCTTTTAAAACGAATAAAAGTTCAAATCGACATCGCAACATTTCGGCCGATTTTTTAAGATGAAATGTCACCTAATACGTCAGGAATTCATGATATATCGCTCAAAAATTGCGAAAAGAGTAAAGGATATTGAGAGCATATTGTTTTGCTGCAAATCTTATAAAAGGATATATTGGCCGATATATTGAATATATCGGCCGATATATTGGATATATCGGCCGATATATTGGATATATCAGGGATATTTAAAACATGGAAGAGAATCATGAATTTGTTAACATTCTGGATCCTTTTCAGTTTTCATCTAAGGAAAAAAAACCTCTTTTGTTGAGATATTGATGTGTTTTAGATCCTAAACAGTAGTTTTACTCTTTTAAACAGGTGAAACGTAAATATAGGATTGCACCAAGTTCACTTTACTCAGAAGGAAGGAACTCCAAGGTTTTACTCATAGATGGGAGGCAAAGGGAACATTCTAGAGTGGATAGGGATGATATCAAACATATTACAAAATCCCAAATTGATGCTTACTTAGCTCGGATGAGAAATATGACTCCCAAAGAGGCTGCAAATGCTGCTGCTCTGGCTGTAAGCTTTAATGACTGAAGCTGAAGAAGCAGCAAGAGAAGCAGAGGCTGCTGAAGCTGATGCTGAAGCAGCAAAGGCTTTTGCTGATGCAGCAAGTTTGACACTCAAAAACAGGAACAGGGCTAAGATTGTAATTATCTAGTTTTAAATTTCACTCATTTTTAGAGAATTCCCATCATTATATAATCCGTTTCCAAGTATCAGGTGCTTAACGTCTAATTATATATTGGCCACTGACTGAAATTCCTCATTTTGGTGGTTCCGCTACATGGAACATCGTTCTTCTTGGTCATAAATTTACCTTCACTTCCTATGTTATGAATCCTTTGTTTTGGTATAATAAGATGAAAATGTAGTACTAGGCTTCTTCCTGCTCGTTCATGCTATATGAGCATGGTGAAAAAGTAGCTTGTCATTCGGTAAACCCTCACCTATTAAATCGGTAAACCCTCACCTATTAAAGATCTGTTTGGAAAAAGTTTTTAAAATGTCTAACTATGACACTGTCAATGCTCCATCCTTTTGGCACTACATTTTGTTAGAACAAGGTTTTATATGTAGTCGTCTTCCCCTCTCAATACCATTACGTTTGGATGTTAAATTATTTTTGTCTAAGATTTTTTGCAACTAGGAATTCCCACCCTCCCTTCAGGAGGTTCAACTATATATATTCGAAGGGTTGGATGGTTGTCAATCCTTCTCTCTCTCTCTCTCCCCCTCTCTCTCTCTCTCTCTCTCTCTCTCTCTTCTCTCTCTTAAAATGCAAGAACATTTTGTACTTTCTGTTGGTGTTAGATATTTTTTTCCTCGCCTAATTGTTTCTTATATATTACTAATATATTCATGTTCTTGACTATTTGCAGTGGGCGGGAATTACCACCTGAGGCTTCTGATTGATTTCAATCACATACTGTTTTCTGGGAGATCCAATGTAAGGTTTGTAGCTATTTCAGAGAGAAACTCCATTTCTATATTGTTTGTATTCAACTTTTTATTATACATAATATTATCTTCAAAATGAGATAATACCATTCAGACAATTTTATTCATGCAAATGCCCACTGATGATCTAATATTTTGTTTACACCCTGCAATATAGTTTACTGAACAGTTTATCAGTTTATCCACTATAATAACACAAGACGATGTGTTTGGTTGTGTTTCTGTAGTTGACAAATTATAGATAGAAAGACATTGAACACTGCAGTATATTCAATTAACTAGTTATGAATGTGGGTTAACTATACAAATTATTGATATTACAATTTTGAATTGGATTTGGGTGGGTCCAAAATACTTATCTATAAACTTCGATGGGATTTGGAACCGTTGAAAATTTTAAATAATATATATGATCCTTCCGAACTTCAATGTATTACGCATACTGAAATGTAGGATAAATGACATTTAGTCCTCAAATCTCCTGCCATCAGCACTTTGGTGATTCTTCCTCTTACCTGATATCAAAATATTAATCATGCATTCAGTTTTCTGACAGCTTTGCCCCAAGTTGCTTCCCCTTTCTCCTTTTAGGCTTTTAATGTCCATCTCTCGATTCTAACTAGAATGTGACCCAAACATAATTCTGTATTCTGTAAATGGAGACGAGTGTACCATGCAGATAAACTTAGTTGTAATCTTATTCAACAATTAGGCACCTTTTTGGAAGGACAAAATTGATTTCTTTCTATACCATTATTCTTACTCCATGTTAATAATTCATTACGATAGTGAGATAGGATAAGTCTGACTGCTAAGTGCTAAAACTGCTCCTACAATATCAAGTAATGCTAATACAAGTTTTGACTCTTAGACCTCCCTCAGGTATAAAAAGCCACAAGTGCCAACAGACCCCAAAAAGGGGAAACAAAGAGAAAAACGACATATAAATGATCAACAATAAGCCACTATAAGCACTCAAACTTGAAAAGTTGATTGCCAACATTGTGTCCATTTGAAATGAAATTGCTGCATATATAAAGCATTTAAAACTTAAAAGTTAGATAGGGGATAATGGGTTGATCTTTGCAACATCTATACAACTAAATCCAATTTTAAAGCTTCATCTATATATACTCTCTCAATTCCAAGAGAATCTGAAATTGCAAAGATGAGAAATGATCATTATGGTGGAACATTCGTATAGCTTGGTAAATCATCTTATAAGAGGTCAAGTAAGGGTAGTGCTTTCTCTCTTCTTGGAAATCATTATTCTCTAGAAATTTTTGATTTTCACGTACTTAGCTAATTAGTTGCTTCAACTGAATATGGTTCTGAATGTTTACGGGGAAGAAATATATTCGACAGCTGGGTTTTCTATACCTCCTTTTGCAATTCACAATGAACAAACTTAAATGGATAAAAAAAGGAAATAGACACAAGTGCAAATAAGCATTAAGAAAATGATTATGCCGTGTCAATGGAGAAAATAGTAAACAATGTGCCTACTTTTCAAGTGCAAGAGTGCCTACTTTTCAAGTGCAAGGGAGTTCTCTCTTGATAGTGCGTGAACAGTATGTCTACAATTTAACTAGTTGCTTCTAGCCTTCAATTGATTATGGTTCTGAACATGTAAAGGAAAGAAATAGGTTCAAAGGCTAGCTTTTCATACCTCCAGTCGCATTTAATAGTTGATAAAAACATAAATGGGTAAAAAAAAGAAATAAACAAAGTGTAAATAACCTTTAAGGAAAAAATTGTGCCTCCTTTTCTTAGTGAAGAGAGTTCTCTCTTGTATGTGTGAACAATGTCTACTGTTCAACTGAAAGAGAGTCTGATACAGTCAGAGGAAGTGATACCTGAGATTTGAAGTAACCAAAAATTATAATATTATATTGGAAAAGAAAAGAAAGGGAAAGTTGTTTCAACTAAGAAACCTGTCTTCAACCTTACTTACTCCCACTAGAGTTTGCCCCAAAGTTGGTTTTGCTCCCGCTTTTAGTTAATTCAATAAGCTTTAGGGATATAATTTATGGATTTTTATTATGTGCAAGTCACATGGAAAATTTTAGGGGAATATTCCACCATTTAACAAGAATATTCTAACATTTAATTAAATGACGGTTGTCAAGTGCTACTTAAAAAACAATAGGGGTATTTAAATGTTAAAGAGAAATATATACGGCATATAAGTGCAAATTCATGTAAACTATAAGAAATTATCAGTGCGATTAAGCCTTTAATAAACTTTTTGGCAGTTTAACTTAATGGTTAATTTTCCTAACTTAGTTTTTTTTTTCTTTACACTTTTGTGCAGATAATTCCAGTTTTGAATGGGGGAGATTCATGCCTCTGAAGGCTTGTTTTTGCTCCTAACCTGTATATAAGTTTAGATTGTGCAAGGTTCATTTAGTGCAAAGGTTCTTTATAGAGGACCCTGGAATCAGGAGATGCTTAAATATCTTCAGCCCCTTGAAATTTCCATTTTCTTTCTTTTGCATTGTCAGGTTGACCCCAGTATCGAAAGTTTTAGCAAGGTCTTAGACGTCAAATTTAATAATGTTGAAAACCTGTCGATGTTGGTGACTCAGCATTAGTACTCCCAGTTTTCTCAGGGTTTTTATGGTGAAGGGGTTGTCTTCAAATTTTGGCTCATTGTATCATAGCATGTATCTGACGAAACCAATCTTTTCGTGTGGAAGAGTGGGTGATTATTTTATTTGCTTGCCGATGAATTTGGTGGGTCAGAAATAGCAGTTGTTTTAATGATTTGAGGGGGACTAATTTCGATATCAGAAAGTTTCAAAGAGCTGATCTTGAAAAAATCATAAAATAAAACTACTAAGATGTTTGTTGGCAAGACGTTGAATTTTAGGACTACATATTTCAACGGGCATGTTCTTATTGGGATTTGGATCCTCTTCACTGGTGGAGGGACCGCTATTTAATCATAATTATTAATTATCTAGTGGATGGTTATGGTTTTCAATTTAAGTGCAAATTAGGAGTGAATGTAATACCCTCAAAAACTCAGTATTTACAAAATTACCCTTGAAATCATCAATGTGGAAAAAATTACCCTCATAGCAATTGCTCATCAAATTGAGAAGCTAATTTATAATTACATTGTAAAAATTACCAATAAATAATCAAATATTTATCACAAGGTTGATGATTAATTGAGTTTAGGGATTTTTTTTTTTTACTAAAACTGAAGATTTGAGATGTATTTTTGGTAAATATTAAAAAATTATGGGGCACTTTTACAAGTAACCATAATTAAGGGGTATATATGCAAAGAACCCAAAATTTCTCATGCATTATGTAAAAAATCAGTGTGAAAGTGATTGGCACCAATGACCCGCTTGTGAAACGCACAGGCTTGACCAAGTGAGCTCGTAGTGGTTGTTAGCAAATTAGGCAAACAAATCTTAATAACGTAAAATTTACTGTAACATGAAAAGACATTTAACAGTATTAAGCCCAATAACTTTAGTATATATAGAAAAAATAGTCGTTAAATTTCTAGTTTAAAAACTATATTATAAGCACATAGGTAGCACGTTATAATAAAATAATAAACTGCTAGAATACAAACTGGATTTAAAAATAATTTAGTAACTTTTTTGTGTCTAGTCAAGACTTTGCAAGTGAGTGGGTTCAAAAAATAATTGGGAATAAAACTTTGTGTTTTTAGGCAAAAAAATCCTTTTGAAAGTTGGCATGTTTGAAAAAATGGAGTAAAATATTAAATGAAGTATTTTGGGTCTACATAATTTTGAAATTAAGCAAGTTTAAAAGTAAATGTGGATAAGACTTCGGGTTATACAAGAAAAAAGGTGATTTTTAAAATAAATAGAGGTGAAACTTTAGGTTTATAGGAAGAAAAATCTCTTACTTGTACATTATTTTATTAAAGCTCATGTAGTACGTATTTTGATCTTAAAAGAGTCATTCTTGAAGTTCAGGGGCTTAAAAATAAACCAACTTATAAATCGGGTTTAAATGCAGAACGTTCTAATTTAATAGGTAAAAAGCGTATGCGGTGCAGGGGATTCAAACCCGCGACTATTGTTGTGAATCTGAAGGGATTAACCGAGGTAGCGGTCAGCCAAAAAATATTTGTCGAGAAGTGTTACTACTTATAAATATTACTGTAGTTTGAAAAGACATTCTACAGTTATATACCCAATAACTCTAGTTTATTTTTATATATATATATATATATATATAAACCCTCATAAACTTCCAGCACATTGTAGTAAATCCCGAATAACTTCCAAAGTAGTGCTAAACCGTCAATAATTTCTGCAGAAAATCTCCAAAATATTTTGAGTAAATTACGTTAAATAATAACTTTCAAAATGTCTTTTTATATTCTTTTTTTGTTTGAATTTATGTAGATTGTCTGAAAAAATGCGTAAACTTATTGGGGTTTTCTACAGTTCCAAAAGTTACGTGGAGGTTCATTGCGACTTTGAAAGTTTTGGGGGTTTGAGTATGAAATTCTGAAAGTCTTGGGGTTTAAAGTGTAATTTACCCTAACAACATTTATATGAACAAATAATAAACAGACGCAAATTGTGAGATGGATTATGATATATATGTTCTCCATCCGTAACCCAAAAAGATTACAAAATGCATTTTTTATTCATTCATTTTAGTGGTATTCTTATAAATTTTAGATTCACGCCTGCGCATTTTTCTATGAATTTTATCACTGTTAGTTTCGAAAAACTATTTTTGCTTAGTATTTACATACGTAGCTATCATGAAATTTTGCATTTATTTTACTAGATCGCTAGACGTTTGTAAATGCAAAGCACCGGAGGAAAAAAAAAGGGTGAAGTTTTGAGGATCTAGACACTCTACAATTTTATCTGTAGAACACAGTGGCATGTCAAAAACATTGGGCCTCCATCGTTTATTAGCTATTATTTAGTTCAGGAAGGCATGCATGTTTCCATTACTTGCACTTAATAATAATAAATTTCTTCTACCCTCAACTTTTAAAAATATATATCTTTAATAATTTGTGCTAATATTTTTGTTCGCTCACACGTGGAAGCAACATGCAGCACTCTTCATTATTATAGTAATAATAAATGAACCAAAATTTTGTTCTTAATTACAGCACTCACCATAGCAAACGCAACGAACACATGATATTAGCTAGCCAACATCATAAACATGAGGCAATTAATAGTTTGTCTGGCTAAACTAAATACAACTCGATGGAGGCGTTTATGGGCCGAAATGTTTGCTTTTCTGTAAGTTTGCGCGTACGAGACGATGGCTACGAGTTCAAGAAAGGCCATTGTGGTTTGCGCTGTAAATTTATTAAGCCCTCAGACTATTATTTGGATCTATTAAGCCCCTATGCTTTTTATTTTGAATCTATTTAGCCCCTACAGTGTTTCTCCATAACTAAAAAAGGGTATTTTTGTCTTATTGAATCTATTTTTTAGTTATGGAGAAACACCATAGGAGCTAAATAGATTCAAAATAAAAAGTATAGGGGCCTTAATAGTTTCAAATAATAGTCTGGGGGCTTAATAGATTTATGGCGCAAACTATAGGGGCATTTCTAAGTTTGAACTCCGATCTGATGTTCTTGTAGGGTCCCCCTATTTGCTAAAAATTTTTTACTACTTAAAAGTCGAAAAAAAATAACACATTAGATTTTATCCGTGCAAATAGAACTATAAGGGATCTATCTGTAATTGTGCAATACTATACAGGGTCTATTCGCAATCAACCCATATGCTTCAAAGATTAGGTTTGTACAAGAGAGATTATAAGCTGCAGCTTGTTGCTCCAAGCCTTCACGGTTAAGTTACGCATATGTGGCTTTCTACATTCACGGTTGGCTTCATGTGTGGCTGGCATACGAATGTAACAATATTTTGATTTGGCCCCTTCAAATAATTGAAACTACTCTTGGGTCCACCGATTTTGTATGTTGCTCGTGCCGCTCTCGATAATTGAAGGGGTTAAATTGAAACAAATTTCAACGATTTGCTAATGGCGCTCTTGATTGAAGGGAGAAATTTGAAATTACTTGTAAGAATCAGGGGACTATTTTTCAGACAACTTACGCGCCTCATAAATAATTTCCAAAATTCAAGAGACTAAATTCAACATACTAAGAGTTTAAGGGACTCGTCTTAAAAAAACCCTAACATATAATAAAAAGAAAAAATGTGAGGGTGACATCTCGATCGGCATGTACTTTCGTATATTATGATGCTATATTCTTGTTGTTATTCTATAGAATATTACATCAGACAGTGAAGCATGCAGTTACAGAGGTAGTCGTCCCTTCTAAATAATATATAATTACTTATAAGCCGGATGCGTACATGCCTTCAGATCATAAAGAGGTGGAAGCGCACGTGATTTCTTAACTACATATCTTATTTACCCTACAAAAAAAATTTACTGCGATTTAAGGGTGAGGGGAGGCACTTCTTATTTATTTCTCTCTACTTCTCTATGTGGATCTCCTAACAAATGACTATGGGCACCTGTTAGAAAAATTATAAATTTAAATATTATCATATCAAGTTATCCTAATTGTGATTATCTTTAATTCAAAATTTTATTCTTAAATTTTTAAGCACAAACTTCTTATCATAAGCACAAACTTCTTACCAAACAAATTTTATTCTTTAATTCAAAACAGTCAAAAACTAATTTTAGTAGGAAAATGTTAAGAAAAATCAAAATTCAGAATTATATCCCTAGTTTAAGTTAGAAACAAACTTCTTATCATAATATAGTTCAATCTCCTAATCATAGCAGGACATAAAGTCTGTTCCAACCGCGTGAAATTATTACAAAGAATCAAGACAATATCCCATCACAAACTGAATCTAAATCCCGAATTGTTTCGCAGCATATTATGAGAAATAACAGCATGGAACGAATTTCTTATTATAATAACTAATTATAATAAAACTCAAATCTCCTAATCATAGTAGAGCACAAATTCCATTCCAATCACGTGAAATTGTTACAAAGAATCAAGAGAATATCCCATCACAAACTAAATCTAAATCCCAATTTGCTTGGTGGCGTGTTATTATGATAAATAAATTGAAACTAGAACCGTGTGATATTGTAAATACATATTTTCAAATTTTCACCCAATAAAAACATTATATCCGAATTCGAACGAACCCAAATTTCACCGTCCGAAGAGTCCCAACAGAGCACGAATCCTCCACCTACAAACTCGCCGCTGAATCAGGAACTCACACCCCAAAGCTTTCACGCCTCCCCGTAACTGCCTTTTTCCATCTCTCACCTCACTTCCAGATTCGTATAAATATACCCCCAAATCCGGTCCCCCTTTATTCCCCTTTTATTCCCAAATCCCCCTCCTCCTCCTCCTGTTCCCAAATCTCCCCACGATCTCAAATTCTCCCCTCCTCTTCAAAAACCCTAACCCTAGCGGCCAATCGTTGTGAATGGTGTTCGATCACCCGCCGGCCTCCCTCTCCCCCTTCTCTCCGTCG